CCTTGGTTACCAAAAAAAAAAAAAAATCAAGTTTTTTTAGCCTTATTTTGCTTCAAAATTCTTGTCAATGTCTTCCTTCAATCAAATGATTAATGGGTGAGTTTCTTTTCCATTTCTTTTTATTTCCACCAGCTTTAGGCTTGCTCAACATCTTCACTGCTACATCCCTTCCACTTTGAAGCTTTCCTTTGTACACAGTTCCGTAACCTCCCTCACCTAATTTCTCTTTGAATCCTCTGGTCATTCTCTTTATGTTGGAGATTGGCATGAAATTGTTGTGTTTGCAAAAAGCCTTCAATCGTATCGTACATTGACAAATGCCTCCTTTTGAATTTGTACACCAGAAATGCAATTACCAACGGAAGGCCTATTACAATTTTTGCTCCCGAATACACTGCACGTTTGAGAAGTCATGGAAAGTAACTTCCCCTTAGGCCAACAAAACATAGAGATGATAAGGAGATATAAGGCTATGTTTTTAGAAATATTGCTATTAACAGCTTTCTATACTTAACACTATAAGGTACACAATCGTTGTTCTTGCTCCTTTAATTATATCATCATGAAGTATAAAGGATTCGAAGAAATTAGTCTTCACAAATGGAGAAATTAAAGCATATGTAGAGAAAAGTTTGAGTACTCACAGAGAATCATTAAAGCAACTCCTACAAAGACAAGAAGAACTCAAATTGTAGTGAGTGAATCCATTGTTTTCCTAATAAAGGAGAAAATCATATATAGTTGAAGTCGTTACTTATCCTTTCTTCGAAACTCCAATAGAGCTCAAAGCCATAAAGGATTGCTTGATGAAAATCAGAAAGGGAAATGTTGTTAATATTAGCCCATGAGGTCAAGCCTATAAACTCCGCTCTGCATCCATCACTCACTTCAGAGACATTCATTTTTCCAATCTTTAGATAAGTGTATTTGCTTGATTTGCAGCCACTAATTTCCATAAATGTCGAATCATTAACAGCAAATGGACAATTGAACATGAAAATGGGCGCTACTATTCTAAGCTGTGATGCATAATAGTATGGGCTGAAGAAATCACTGTATTCGTGACAGGTAAGCTTAGAAGGTATGAGAGAACATAGATCATCTGTTTGTAAAGTCGGATCTACCAAGCGAATTGTATGATAAGCATAGTCGATGCCTTGAACGTGCAACTTCTTGGAGGATAACCATATAACGGTTTGGTTACCTTCACAAGCTAATTCAATTCCTGAAAAACGACAATGTTTTGGATCGGTGTTTAAATGAAAAGGGTAGCTTATGTTACGGATATCGCCACAAGCAGAACGAGGACAGTAGTGTTTGCTCTTCCGAGCATGGCATGTTTGCAAAAAGATGATTTGAAGGATTAATGTAAAATAGTTAAGCTGAGAGTTTCCTTTAGACATTTGTGTATTACTCAGGTTCAGCTGAGACTTCACAATTATTGTTGTTATCATATATAAGACTAAAAATGCAATTAAGCCATCTAGCAAGTTGAAGGTTTGTGGACTTTTCATTACCAATATTACTCCTTTGGGTCCCAAACCAATATTAATCTTTTTGGTCCTTGATGGGAAAGTTGAAGGTTGATGAAGGGCCCTCATGAGGAAGACTTTGACGTTTACCAATTTGTTAGTGAGGGAGATGGATATGTCATGTTTCCCCCATATGCCAAACACACCTTTTGCTCAAACTGTGTATTTGTGTTGAACAATTGTGACTTTATATATTTATTTATAGGTATAATAAATAAATATACCTTTAAACTTGGCCTCATTTTATATTGGGGAACTTTTGCATATAGCCACTCAAAAATAGCTATAGTTTGTTAATTATGATTCGTAGCTACATGTTATAGGGAGGAGAGAGAAGAGCGAGATTGGGAGAGGGAGGAGAGAGGCGAGCAAGAGAAGGAAGAGAGTGGGAGAGATGTGAATTGTATATGTATATTGATTAGATAATTGTATATTATACATATGTATTTGTATATCTAGCGAGCGAGATTGGGAGAGGAAGGAGAGATGTGAGCGAGATTGGAAGAAGCAGGAGAGAGGCGAGCGAGAGAGGGCAATAATTTGTATAATTCGCATCTCGTTTGTATAATTCACAGGTACGTCTTTATAATTCGCTTGTTTTTGTATAATTGAGTAATATAAACTCTGGAATTAACAAATATGATAAAACTCAAAATAACGAATTGATACAAACATAAACATATGAACTTTAAACAATTATACATAATATATTATACAAATTACATTATATAAATTGTATTATACAAAATCCGAAAACTACACGTTTATACAAACTGTAAAAAGTTATACACAAAAATATTGAATGTGAATGGTGACAAAACTGAAAAACCAAAGGAAATCATCGCCATATACAAACACAAACCATCGTATACAAAATACAAATCAAACGAAGAATTGTTAGTTACGAATTATCCAAATGTGGCTAATTATACAAACTCGAAGTCAGCCCGCGTAATTAATGGTTAATGTTAGTCGTGAGTTGTAATTGTAGCAAACTACAACTATGATGAGTAATTAAGTAATATAAGCTTGCTTAACCTCGTAATTTTCCCTTTTATATTTATGTCCTCCTAGGGTGTGCACAAGTATACAATTGAACTTGTGTAAAGTTGAACAAATAGACACATGAATCCTACATGACATAATACACATACGACACCACATAGGACCCAAATTGTCATGTAGGATGTCATGTAAGACACATGTGTCTATTTGTTATACTTTATAAAAGATCTACTTGTGCAAACTCAAAGTTAGAGAGCATAAATGCAAATTGAGGTCAAATGAAAGGGCATATTTATGTATTATACCTTATTTATATTTACCTAGACATTTAATTGATAAGCATAACTAGGGGCGTTCGTGGTTCGGTTTGGATTGGTTATTGATTAAAACCAAAATCAAACCAATTTAGTCAGTTTTTTAAATTTCTAAAACAAAACCAAACCAAACAAAAAATAACCGTCGTTTGGTTATTGTCGGATTGATTCAGTTTTTCTGGCTTATTCGGTTTGAAAATAATAACTTTTTTGAGGACGTACGTATCTCGATAGATACAAACACCTAGTACATGAACAATCCACAGAAAAACTATTGTCGGTTCAATTAAGCAATACTAGAGTTATCATTACATGAACAAAGTGATTCAATTAAGAGAAAGTGTGACTATTTTATGTGAAGTATGGTAGGTAAAGACTAAAATGGATTTTGATGGACTTGGACTTAGGATTGTTATAGTTGGGTTAAAGTGTTGGGCTTGAGAAAATGATAAAGTTAAAGACTTGAATTAATTAAAATTTAACAAAATATTTATATTTTATTTATGAATAATATATAAAAAATTATAAAATTTATATATCTAATTTATCGGTTTGGTTAGATTATTTTTGCAGTTGTTTTTTAGTAAAACCAAACCAAATAGTATCGATTTTCAAAATTTAAAACCAAACCAAACCAAATATCGGTTTTTTAATCGGTTTGGTTCGGATTGCGGCTCCGTTTGGTTATTTAACCATGACCATGAACAACCCTAAGCATAACACATAAATAGGACCTTTAACTTGGTTTCAAATTTTAACTTTGACCTTAAACTTTCAAAGTGCAAAAAGAGGCTTTTTAACTATCCAACTCTTGAATCTAAAAAATACTCGAATCCTACCTAGCAAAACACGTGATATACACTCAATCTGAGCGCGTCAGGAGTAAATTTTGAGGCCCACAACAGTAAAATATATGTTGAAATGACAATTATACCCTTAATGAATCCCTTATATATATATATATATATATATATATATATATATATATATTTGTATATTTTCTAATCAAAATCCTCTTTTTTCCTCTTCTTTTAAATCAAGCTTTTTTTTCTCTCTTTTAGCATGATTTTCCTCGTTTTTAGTGCAAATGGCTTCTATTTTTTTTGTCATTGTGAAAAAAGAGCTATAATGAACATTTCTTAGTCTGCAAACAATACAGGTCGTTGGTGTGCAAATAATCCTGATTTAAGCAAAGATTCTACCTTCTATTAAAATAAACTTTCAAAAGGGCAAAACTAAGCATACCTGAACTAAGCTAGCTTTGACAATAGATTTCCAAATATTTTGACAAATATTATTTGAGTGAAATTTCACCATGTGTTTAGTCATAGTATTTGGGAAACATATTTCACTTTTTTTTAAAAATGATTTATACCCATAAATCTTTAAAACAATCAAAACTAGGTTTGTATTACATAGCACATGACTTTGTTACGTTGTGGCGATTGTTCATCACTTTCATCAACAATCATATCATCACTGAATATTCCATCACTACTTTGATGTTCATGTAAAAAATTATGTAAAACAACGCAAACAACTATTATAAATGGTGTTTTTGTAAAAGATAAAAGTTAAAAGATAAAAGTTTGGTGTAGAATTTGAATTATTAAAAGTTCCCAAATAATGAGACTTGACCCAAATACAGTTTTTTCTAGTATTTGGAATTTGGGATATTTGCCAAAAATATTTGTCAAATAATGGTAAATTGTATGGACAAACACTATTTGCCAAATTCTTCCCCAAATTTTACTTGGAAAATCTATGGTCAAACGGGTCCTAAATTGAGGAAGATGAACATATAACATCAGAGTATATGAACTTTTAGCACAAATCATAAACGATTTTTCCCTTGATTCACGATTTTGGTTGTAAATCCCAAGCTAGAGTTTCGTGATTTTGAGAGAGAAACAGGGTAAAATGGAAGAGTATTTCACCCTATACCCTTGTATCAATTTGAATATTAATTTAGTTTTTTTTTTAATTCTTATATCTACGTGTAAATTTTTTAATTAGTTGGCAGCTATTGAGCGGCTCACTAATCCACGTTGGATCGTATGCATTTCACGTGTTTGGGCTGCATTATTCGTGTGTCTATTTATTCAACTTTATACATGTTTAAGTTTCTAAGCATAAATGTGAGTTGATGCCAAGTTAAAATGCATGTATTAGGTCTTTGATATAACTAGTACAACAATAACAACACCATTCTTTGTCCGAAACATTGTTGGATTGGCTATGTTTATTTCACATAAACATTACATCAACTATAATCAATCAGCATAAATGTCTACCTCAACGGAATTATCTAACAAAGCTATGGAATCAGACGAAAATGTCGTAGAACTTCCCATGATCTGATGAACAATCGGTTCAGATTGAAGAGGCTGAGGAGGTACTTCTAGCACTTCAACTTCGCCTTCAAGCATTTCTACTACTTTACTCATTGAAGGGCGTTGTATCGGATTTGTTTGTATACACCATAATGCAACTAAACTCAGCTTTCTAGCCATCTTCTTTTCATCATCATTCGCTTCTTCATCCACCACAATCTCTTTCCCCTTGTTGAACTTATCGTAAATATTATAAGGAAAGTATTGGCTGGAATTCTCTTCATTTGCAACTTCATTTCTCTTCAAGTCCAACATTTCCATTAGCAGCATTCCGAAGCTGTAAACATCAGCTTTGTATGAGATTGCTCCAATGCTTCTGCTGATCAGCTCTGGAGCAACATATCCAATCGTTCCACGAGCAGCTGTGAGAGTCACAATGCTCTTATCTGTTGGATATAATTTCGCAAGCCCAAAGTCAGAAATCTTTGGAATGAAATTCTCATCCAAAAGAATGTTGTGTGGCTTGATGTCAAAATGCAAAATTCGTACATCACAGCCTCGATGCAAATACCCGATTCCTCGAGCCACTCCAAGAATAATGTCATACTTCCTTTGCCAACTTAACAGAGGACTTCCTTCTTGATCCGTGCTGATGTACTTATCAAGTGATCCATTGGGCATGAAGTCGTATACAAGAGCACACTTTGTTCCCTCAACGCAATACCCCACGAGTCCAACCACGTTGACATGATGAATCCTTCCGATGGTAGCTACTTCATTCATGAAATCTTGCCCATCAGCTTTAGGCTTGCTCAACATCTTCACTGCTACATCCCTTCTACTTTGAAGCTTTCCTTTGTACACAGTTCCGTAACCCCCCTCGCCTAATTTCTCTTTGAATCCTCTTGTCATTCTCTTTATGTTGGAGTAATTATATCTTATAGGAATGAAATTGTTTTGTGTTTGCAAAAAGCCTTCAATCGTATCGTACATTGACAAATGCCTCCTTTTGAATTTGTACACCAGAAATGCAATTACTAACGGAAGGCCGATCACAAATTTTGCTCCCGAATACACTGCACGTTTGAGAAGTCATAACGAACCACAGAGATGATAAAACACATGATCAATGGAATGTTAATATGTGTCCATCCAAATAACATATAGATTGCTAAAGGGATATATAGGAGCTTACACACGCAAAACTGGCCTAGCAATTCAGTGATCCCTGGTTAGATTAAAGTGCAAACGTTTTAGAATGAGAGATCAATGGAGAATTAAAAGTATATGTAGATAAAAGTTTGAGTCCTCACCGGAAATCCATTCCAATAAACCTACAAAGACGTGCAAAAATTAAACTGTAGTGAGTGAATGTTGAGAATATAATTAAAAGTATATGTAGATAAAAGCCTTGAGTCCTCACCGAGATTGAATGGACTAGTACCTACAAAGTCTTGAAAATAAATTAAATTATAGTGAGTGAATGTTGAGAATATAATTAAATAATAAAAATGTGTTCTATCTAACAACTAAAGTATTTAGATGAAATGGTCACATATTTCAACAGTGAATCCATTGTTTTCCTAGTTTCTTACGTATAGAGGATGGAAAAGAATGTTACCCCACGAAAAATAGGAAAACTCAAATCCGTAGAGAATTGCTTGATGAATATCAGAAAGGGAAATGTTCTTAATATTAGGCAGTGAGGTGAAGCCTATAAATGCTGCTCTGCATCCATCACTCACTTCAGACACTTTCATCTCTCCAATCTTTAAATAAGTGTATCTGCTTAATTTGCAGCCACTAATTTCCACAAATGTCGAATCATTAACAGCAAGTGGACAGTTGAACATGAAAATGGGCGTGGCTATATGCTGTGATGCATAAATGGATAACCTGAAGATATTATTGTATTTGAGAAAGGTAATAGCCTTAGAAGGTATGAGAGAACATAGATCATCTTGTGTTTGTAAAGTCGGATCTACCACGTGAATTGTCTGATTATCATAGTCGATGCTTTGAACGTGCAACTTCTTGGAGGATAACCATATAACTGTTTGGTTACCTTCACAAGCTAATTCAAATCCTGAAAAATGACAATGGTTTGGATCGGTGTTTAAATGAAAAGGGTAGCTTATGTTACGGATATCGCCACAAGCAGAAGGAGGACAGTAGTGTTTGCTCTTCCGAGCATTAGATGTTTGCAGAAAGATGATTTGAAGGATTAATGAAAAATATTTAAGCTGAGAGTTTCCTTTAGACATTTGTGTATTACTCAGGTTCAGCTGAGACTTCACAATTATTGTTGTTATCATATATAAGACTAAAAATGCAATTAAACCATCTAGCAAGTTGAAGTTTTGTGGACTTTTCATTACCATTATTACTCCTTTGGGCCCTCATGAGGAAGACTTTGACGGTTTACCAATTTATTAGTGAGGGAGATGGATATGTCATGTTTCCCCCATATGCCAAACACACCTTTTGCTCAAACTGTGTATTTGTGTTGAATGGTTGTGACTAAGGGTGATAAATGGTTGGATTGGATCGGATTTGGATGTATTGAATATGATTTGAGTAAAAATGGTTTGGATTACAATCCACCCAAATAGAATATGAGCAAATATGGATTTGGTCAAATATGGTTTGGGTAAAATGGTTCTAACCCATTTAAAAAAATCTGTTTTTCAAAAACAAAAATTACCCCCTTCCCCGGGCACCTCCCCACCCCGCGCCCTCCCCTCCATTCCAACAATCGACCCCTAAATTTTTTTGTTTTCCAAAAACAAAAAAAAAAAATCTTTTTTTTCAAAAATAAAATAAAAATTTACACCCTACCCCCACCCCCCATCCTCCACCTTCCACCAACCTATCCTATTTTTATTTTTTTGTTTTCCAAAAACAAAACAAAAAAAATCTATTTTTTCAATTAAATTTGAAAATTTATTGAATTTTTGAAAATTAATATTTATTATTTTTATTTCTTTAGCACAATTAAAATTTTTGAGTGGAAGTGAAAACTAAGTGATCTATTATGGGTCAATATGAGACTCATATGTAACCCATTTTGACCATATTTGTAGATACTCTTAAAATAGCTTGAAATCCATATTTAACCAATTAAAATATGAGTGATCCAAGTCATTAAATATGGGCAAGATGGACTCATTTTATTAATGTGTTGAAATTGCCACCCCTAGTTGTGACTTTATATATTTATTTATAGGCATAATACATAAATATGTCTTTGAACTTGGTCTCATTTTATATTTATGTCCTCCAACTTATGGTGTGCACGAGTATACAGTTGAATGTGTGTAAAGTTGAACAAATAGACACATGCATCTTACATGATAATTTAGGTCCTATGTGGTGTCCTACATGTATTATGTCATGTAGGATTCATAGGGTTGGGCATTTGGTAATTTGGTTTAGTTTTGGTTTTTTCGGTTCATGCAATATGTGTACCGAACACCGGACCAAAATAATTTGGTTTGGTTTTTGTTAGTTCGGTTTTTTATTAGAGCAACTTTCACATATAGCAAACATAAAAATCATATTTGTATGTTTAGTTATAGTTTGTATAATAATGCTCCATAGCAAACTTTATGTTTGCTCTGGCTATTTCGCTATACATATATACAAAAGAAGCAATTGTATAATATGTTTCGTTATACATATACAAAAGAATCAATTGTATAATCTGTGTTTGTATAAATCGAGAAAGAGAGAAAGACAAAAGAAAATTGGGCAGGGAAAAATCGTATTTATATAATCATAAGTGTATAGGACAAATATATGCATTTGTATTTGTATATACAATTTTATCTCGCTTTATACAAACACAAACGCAATGTATACATTTGTGTTTGTATAAAGTGAGAGTGGCAAGCGAGATCTGGGAGAGGGGAAAGAAGGGAACGAAAATATATGTATATATACAATTTTCTCTCACTTTATACAAACAAAAACATATTTTATACATTTGTGTTTGTATAAAAGTGAGAGAGGCGAGCGAGACTGCCAGTGAGAACGAGAGTGGCAAGCGAGATTCCATCAGGGAGAGAGGCAAAAATAGCAATAGTTTGCTATGGGGTACAATTTAATCAAACTATGTTTATAACATTTAATTTGAATTAATAATTTCCTATTATGTACAATTTTCCCTTTCTGTTATGCGCCTGCTTAGTGGCTTTTTAAAATTAAAAATTTTACAATTTTTTTGTTTGATTTTTCAGCTTAATGGGCTAAAAATAAGTGATCCTTAAAGTGTTCAAGCTATTACTCTATTAAATATAAAGAAAATTTCACAAACAGCTACAATGAGAAATATAATAGGCCTCATTAACTATAGTTTGCCTATTTACGCATCATAGCTGTAGTTTAAATAGCTATTAAGTTTCTGATTTGTATAATTCGGTCTATTTATAATTAATTATAAAAAATCTATTTAATTATATTTAACTGATTAAGCGTTAATTAAGAAATGCCTTTAATTAAGGAATGCCTTAATTAAAGATCATTTAGTTTAATTATGATACGTTACCAAAATAAGACTTCTTCTTTTTGAGGAAACGCAAACTATTCCTTGTTTTCCTTCAATCAAACCTTCATCTGTATTAGAACATAAACAATTGGTTTATTTTTGTGACTTGAACAACGAAAAGGTAAACACAAGAATTTATTCATTACGAGTTGTATATTCGTCTGACTACATTCAATGTATATATATTTCATATATTTCTTATTTAATTTGTCTTTAATTTGTATTGTTGTTATCATATAGCAGAGTAGAAATGCAATTAAACCATCTAGCAAGTTGAAGTTTTGTGGACTTTTCATTACCATTATTACTCCTTTGGGCCCTCATGAGGAAGACTCTGACGGTTTACCAATTTATTAGTGAGGGAGATGGATATGTCATGTTTCCCCCATATGCCAAACACACCTTTTGCTCAAACTGTGTATTTGTGTTGAATGGTTGTGACTAAGGGTGACAAATGGTTGGATTGGATCGGATTTGGATGTATTGAATATGATTTGAGTAAATATGGTTTGGATTACAATCCACCCAAATAGAATATGAGCAAATATGGATTTGGTCAAATATGGTTTGGATAAAATGATTCTAACCCATTTTAAAAAATCTGTTTTTCAAAAACAAAAATTACCCCCTCCCCCGGGCACCTCCCCACCCCGCGCCCCCCCCCCCCACCTTCCACCAATCGACCCCTAATTTTTTTTGTTTTCCAAAAACAAAAAATAAAATTGCCCCTCCCCCGGGCACCCCCCCCCCCCTCTCCACACACCTTCCACCTACCTACCCCTAAATTTTTGTTTTCCAAAAACAAAAACAAAAAATCCGTTTTTTCAAAAAAATAATAATAATTTTACACCCTCCCCTGATGCAACCCCCCACACCTTACACCAACCTACTCCTAAATATTTTTATTATCCAAAAACAAAAAAAAATCTATTTTTTCAAAAATAAAATAAAAATTTACCCCCTACCCCCACCCTCTCATCCCCCACCTTCCACCAACCTATCCTAATTTTTTTTGTTTTCCAAAAACAAAACAAAAAATCTATTTTTTCAATTAAATTTGAAAATTAATTGAATTTTTGAAAATTAATATTTATTATTTTTATTTTTTTAGCACAATTAAAAATTTTGAGTGGAAGTGAAAACTAAGTGATCTATTATGGGTCAATATGGAGACTCATATGTAACCCATTTTGACCATATTTGTAGAGACTCTTAAAATAGCTTGAAATTCATATTTAACCAATTAAAATATGAGTGATCCAAGTCATTAAATATGGGTAAGATGGACTCATTTCATTAATATGTGTTGAAATTGCCACCCCTAGTTGTGACTTTATATATTTATTTATAGGCATAATACATAAATATGTCTTTTAACTTGGCCTCATTTTATATTTATGTCCTCCAACTTATGGTGTGCACGAGCATACAGTTGAATTTGTGTAAAGTTGAACAAATAGACACATGCATCTTACATGACAATTTAGGTCCTATGAGGTGTCCTACATGTATTATGTCATGTAGGATTCATAGGGTTGGGCATTTGGTAGTTCAGTTCAGTTTTGGGTTTTTCGGTTTTCGGTTCTTGCAATATGTGTACCGAACACCGGACCGAAATAATTTGGTTTGGTTTTTGTTAGTTCGGTTTTTTATTAGAGCAACTTTCACATATAGCAAACATAAAAATCATATTTGTATGTTATAGTTATAGTTTGCATAATTGTGCTCCATAGCAAACTTTATGTTTGCTCCGGCTATTTCACTATACATATATACAAAAGAAGCAATTGCATAATTTGTTTCGTTATACATATACAAAAGAATCAATTGTATAATTTGTGTTTGTACAAATCAAGAAAGAGAGAAAGACAAAAGAAAACTGGGCAGGGAAAAATTGTATTTATATAATCATAAGTGTATAGGACAAATATATGCATTTGTATTTGTTTATACAATTTTATCTCGCTTTATACAAACACAAACGCAATGTATACATTTGTGTTTGTATATAGTGAGAGCGGCGAGCGAGATCTGGGAGAGTGGCGAGCGAGATCTGGGAGAGGGGAAAGAAGGGAACGAAAATATATGTATATATACAATTTTCTCTCGCTTTATACAAACACAAACGTATTTTATACATTTGTGTTTGTATAAAAGCGAGAGAGGCGAGCAAGATTGCCAGCGAGAACGAGAGTGGCGAGCGAGATTCCATCAGGGAGAGAGGCAAAAATAGCAATAGTTTGCTATGGGGTATAATTTAATCAAACTATATTTATAACATTTAATTTGAATTAATAGCTTCCTATTATGTACAATTTTCCCTTTTTGTTATGCTCCTGCTTAGTGGGCTTTTTAAAATTTAAAATTTTACAATTTTTTTGTTTGATTTTTCAGCTTAATGGGCTAAAAATAAGTGGTCCTTAAAGTGTTCAAGCTATTACTCTATTAAATATAAAGAAAATTTCACAAACAGCTACAATGAGATATATAATAGGCCTCATTAACTATAGTTTGCCTATTTACGCATCATAGCTGTAGTTTAAATAGCTATTAAGTTTCTGATTTGTATAATTCGGTCTATTTATAATTAATTATAAAAAATCTATTTAATTATATTTAACTGATTAAGCGTTAATTGAGAAATGCCTTTAATTAAGAAATGCCTTAATTAAAGATCATTTAGTTTAATTATGATACGTTACCAAAATAAGACTTCTT